TTTGTGCACAAGTACTATCCGGCCTCGAAGACCACGGAGATTCAGTGGGAGATCACTCATTTCCGCCAGGAGCCAGATGAGTCACTACGTGATGCATGGGATCGGTACTCGAGATTCTTTTGGCAGTATCCCCATCACGATTTCAGTGATGCATTTACAATGGGGAATTTCTATAGCGCTCTGACCCTAGAGAGCCAGAGGGTGATCGAGTCTCTATGCCCCGGAGGGGATATTCTCACCAAGACTCCACCCGAGCTGAATCAGATGATCAGTACTCTGGCTGCTAGAGATCATTCTTGGGGGCTGATGACTTGATATATACACATGTTTTTGTCCACCATTCTTATACCGTTTGAGTCTTATTTCTCGTGTTTTAGGTCGATTTCACGCTAGGTTGTTCTTGTTTGTGATATTTTAGGTCCTAGTACGTGAATGAAGGCTTGGGAACGAGTTCAGGGTTGATTGGACGAAGATTGGACGAAGATTGGACATTTGGCGAGAAGCTGATGAACTCGCACGGGCACGCCTAATATCCCACACGGTCGTGTGACTTGGCCGTGTGGCACCACTTTGCACGGGCAAGCCACACTGGCCGTGTAGGGGACCCCTTGTGGCCGTGTGGAAAGTCCAGAGAGCTCACACAACCAGCCTGGAAATCCACACGGCTGTGTGTCCCTGGCCGTGCAGCATGCCTGAAAGCCCACTAATCGAAACGCCGCGTTTTAACATCCACACGGGCAGACTGGAAAGCCACACGGCCGTGTGGTCGGGAAATTCTGGGTTTTAACCCAATTTCGAGCCAAAGAAGAGGGGGGCGAGTTTTAGAGAGAAAAAGCGTATACCTAGAGAGAGAAAGTGACGAACCTGATTCTTCAAATGCCTTAGATCGATCTCCATCACCATTGGAGCCCGGATTGAGCTTGGAGAAGAGCTGATTGAGTGCCAGAAGCATAATCTCATCCTTCACAGTATGGTTTCAGCGTCTGAGCTAGATTTTCCATCTCTCTCTATGGAGTAACTTTCTTATTCACCTGGGTATGAAGAACCCTAGATTTGTATATTAGGTTTGATTGTATGAACCCAAGTACGAATTCAATGATATGATTATATTCAATTGAGGTCTGATTTGTTGAATGGCATGAATCCTGATCAAATTCCTGTTGTTTCTGCTTTAACCTAGAAAGAGAATATCTGCCTAGGTTGATAGAGCTCCCTTGATTGAAGGTAGTGAATTGATGACTTTAGTCGAGGAGTCCATTCACTATTCTGTACCGGATTTACTTCGCTAGTGGAGGTTTGGTTCATTAGGGCCTCAATTTGTTTACTCCGGTGGAGGTTAGTCGCCCGCTGGGGACTCAGATTGAGAGGGTCTGGAGACCTTTAGTCGAGACTGCAGACTGTTTAAGAACCTCCTGCAGTATAACTATCATTGAAATTGAACTTGGTAAATTACAATCTGGCTTAACTGCAGTCTAGGGGGAACCATCTCCGGGTGACCTCTCTCAACTTGAAAACAACCTTTAACTGCTTTTCTTGTTTGCTTGTTTGGACCTTCACTACACTTTCACTGCTAAATAATAAGAACTCACGGAGTAGTCATCACACTTAGGACCCGGGTTGACATTAAAATCCAAACCCGCTATACTACGCTTTAGGAAGTGGTTACACTTGGCCATTTTCTAGAGTGACGGTAGGAGCGAGTTAGGGGCAGAGCACCAGAAGCAGGAGTTCCCAGGACCGAGGTGTACACGCCATGGAGGCTAGATCTAGGCTAGAGCAGGAGGTGGCCGAGTTGGTCCACACATTGAAGCAGCCCAACAGTCTTATTCTGGGCAGAGGACTGGCCGGGCCTTCAGTTGCTTAATGTCAGTGGTGTGAGAGTTCGAACCATATGGTGGAAGACTGCCAGGCCATGCGGGAGTCTTCTACACCCTAGGTGCAGTTGGACTTCATCGCCAATGCTCGACGCCTTGATCTTTACAGTAGCACATATAATGAAGGGTGGCGTGTACAATTTTAATAGAATAACATATTATGGATGCATTTGTTTATAACCTTTTTAACCTATTTCAACAAATATCATGAAAAAACTAGACATATGTTGAAGTAAATCACATTTTATTAAAACTCAAACAACATTTGTGAATTTTGATACCTTTCACCTTAGTTTATTTGTTTGAAATTTGAATTAGTTATAAAATATTTTTATGGTGTATAATAAATATATATTTTATGTTGGGTTGGGTTTTTACTTTAAAATATCGCCAACCCGACCCAACCCGACCCAATTAGAAAAAACCGTAGGGTTTAATTTTTTTTGGGTGGGTTTGGGTTTGATAATTCCCAAACCGTAGTGCATGGGTCGAGTGATTAAAATACTTAAACCCGAACCAACCGACCCATGTACACCCCTACCTATAGATTAGGAATGGTATGGCCTGGTAGAGTGCCCGGTTTCTTCTGTGCAACAGCCTAAGTCACACCTCCAAGTTGGGTCTGGATATCCCGTAGAACAACTTGGGTGTTCCGCTGCCCGACTTCAAGTGACCGTTGCCAGCTTCAAGATCCAAGAACTGCCCCGAAGCCTTTTCCATGAACCACTCCATGTTGCTGAATTTCTGAGCACTGGTGCTGGTCAGGGCACCAACAATGTCTCACAGCTCTCCCATCTAGTTACGAGGTGCTGGGGGCTGCTGAGACTGTACTCGGCTGCTGGAACTCACGCGCCTGCTGCTGAGGAACAGCCGGTCCTGCCTGGCCGGATAAAGAGGTTGTGGTTGCTGGAATTGCCCTTGTCCGGGCTGGTATGGCGGTCCATGGAAACAAATAGGTCCTTGGGTGACTGTTGGCTTAGGATTAGCATTACCTCCCCAAGAGAAGTTTGGAGGCTGGCACCACCCCTCATTGTATGTGTTGTTGTAGGGGTCAAAACGTTGAGCATTGCTGATGAAGTCCAGCTGCTCTTGAGGGGTAGTAGACTCCCTCATCGCTTGGAAATCTTCTCTGTGTGGTGCCTGCTCTCGCACCATTGGCATTTAGCTATCGGCTGCTGCACATGATCTCCGAAGATTATGCCCTTCTTATCCAGCTGCTTGACCAGCGGTGAAACAACCTGCATCAAGTCAGACGATTGGGTGTCCACAGCATGCACACCCCGGCCAGGTGCTCTTCTCGACCTCCGCGCAGTACCCCAGTCATATCCCTGATCCGCCATCTCTTCAAATAGCTGGTTCAACTGCAGTGGCGTCTTGGTCAACATAATCCTGCCACAGATTGAGTCGATCAACTGTTTGTCTTCTAGGAAGAGAACACGGTAGAAGGTTCACACATTGAAAGCGTCGTCGAAACCATGATTGGGACACTTCATGAAAAGACCAGTGTATCTTTCCCACGCATCCCGGATGGTCTTATCTTCTTCTTGTGAGAAATGAGTGATTTCCTTCTGCAGGTCCACTATCTTGGACGGAGGATGATAGCAGGTGAGGAACTTGTCGGCCAGGCTGGCGAATGTAGTGATCGATCCCGGAGGCCGGGTGTCCACCCACTACTTTGCCTGTCCCTCTAGAGTGAATGGGAAGTACCTCAGCTGGATGGTGTCCGCAGGAACTCCATTAATCTTGATTCCATCGATCAGCTCATGGAATCACCGTAGGTGCGATCTGGGGCACTCCCCGTCTTTTCCACAGAATACCACCGAGCCGCGCAGCATGGTGATGATAGAGGTGCTCACCTTGAAGTTGTTTGCTGGAACTTGAGGGACAATGTCCCATGGTGTGCTCATTAGGGACAATGTCCCTACCATTATTGGGTTCTCCCATGACGTCTTCCTGGTTGATGTTTAGCTGCTCCAAGGCCTCCTCCGCAGCCAGTCGTGCCTTCAGAGCTCGCTTAAAATTATGACAAGTTTGTTCGAGCTCTAGATCTAACGGATATAGCTCTTCTAACTGGCTACGTGTCATGCACTACCTGCACATAGCTGCAAGCACAACCCGTGAAGGCAAAAAGGGGAAGAAAGAAAATACTAAAAAGTAAATGCTAAAGTAACAGATGTTCACGTTTCTCCAATAATCTAGAGGCGTCCCCGACAACGACGCGAAAAACTTGACACACTACGACACAACACCAAACTGCGACCAATTATAATCTAAGAGTGGAAATGCAGAAAAGTGGTTAAGTCTAATTATCGACCTAGGCTCTAGATCTATTGCCTACTCAGTGAACTCCTATTATCTAGCAGGACTAAGAGAGTGTAATGATTTTAGTGCAAAAGAAACAAAAGCAAGTAATGATCTGGTTCTTTTTCAGGTTCAAAAGGTCATCCAAGTATGGTTCCCCCTAGTGTGCAGCTAGTTCAGGTTATACGGTCCAAAATTACTCAGATTGATAGGTTAACCGCAGAAATTTCTTTACTGGTTTGGACTCTTGACTAAAGTTATCCAGACCCTCTTAGTTCGAATACCCGGCGGGCAACTAACCTCCACCAGCATACACTAACCAAGGTTAAACGGGCGAAACTTCCATTACTTCCTTTGTTCCAGTACGGAGCAGTGAATCGACTTCACTTCTCGACTAAAGTAGTCGATTCACCACTTCAATTAAGGGTTTGGTTAGGACTCATGTAATTCTGAATAATTCCTCAACTGAATTTATCAAATCAATCATTCATAACATGGGGTTCATACAATGATTCCTAACATACACAGTTAGGGTTCTTCATACCCAGATGAAATGGAAAATTACTCCATGGAGAGATGTGAGAACGTCATGCTCGGAGTATACATCATCAGAATGACAATGAACAATTGCTCATGGTGGCTAATCGGTACTCGAAGGTTGGGTAATCAAGCTCCAAGGTCTTTAAATCGCTCCAATCCTTGCCTTTGGGTTTTGCTTCGTCACTCTCTCTAGGGTTCTTTTTCTGCCTTTAGAAGTCCAAAAATCCGAATCCTTTTCAAATTTCCCGAGCAGCCTTTAAATAGGCTGAGAATTCGCGACTTACAGCTGAAATTACGGTCGTAACTTTGTTCTCCTGCCCGTAATTTCCCATAAATGTCATCGTGTGGCACCCCGTAAACCAAGAGTTACGGCTTACTTGGGGGAGTTACGGCTCAACCGTAACTTGAAGAGGGAGACCGTAACTTGAAGGCCGAGTGCGAAGAAGCAGTGGGACGAGGAAGAAGCATGGCTGGCTGACTTGGTCCCTACGGAGGGAGAAGTTGGTCCTGTGGCGGAGGGAGATGGTGGTCCGACAGCGAAGGGAGAAATTGATCCGGCGGCGGAGGGAGAAGGTGGTACGACGGAGGGATTACCTGTTCCGAGAAGAATGTCCGCCGGAGGAAGAAGGATTCCTTCCTCGACAGTCACTGGAGGGAGGCTCCGACTGTGCTGTCAGTGTGAGAAAAAAAGTCGAAGGAAGACTCGCATGGAGGTAGTAGAAGGGCACGATGAGAGTATTTTGGTCATTTCCAAACCCAATTAACAATAAGAAAATGAAATTTTGGACAAAGAACATTTTCGTTACATTGTAATAATATAGGGACATGTTTATGCAAAATCATAATATAGGGCACCTTTGTTATCTCGCAATAATACAGGGGCAGAAAATGCTATTAACCCTTTTTATTTCTACCTGCATTCTGCAGTTATGGTATTGAGAACTGGGATCAATCGGCTTATCCCGCGAACGGTGCACGGGCTGCTAAAATCGTCGCCGTTTGCCAAACCACCGGCCTGCCTTCATACACCTTCGTCAGCTTCTTTTCTCTGCCCGAACTGCAACATCGCGACCGATTTATTAAGGAGTTCGATTCTCTCGGCAAACAATCGGAAAGAAAGCGGCTTTTTTTGCTATCTATGGTCCTATTAACGTCTTCCGCTCCTTCGCCGGTGTTTCCTGTTATCCCAAGCTCCAGAATTTGATCGATCTAATTCGATTTGCTGACTTAATATCCTAGTTTTTCTTCATAACTATTGGAGGATTTGGGCATTGTGTGCTTAATTATAGTTATCGATAGGTTAGGTTAGGGTTTTAGTTTGTTGTCCATCCGCCTGGGTGAAGCTTTCAGGCGAATTGGGTGCTTCCCAGCGGGAACTATTCAGAGAAGTTAGGGTCTTGATAGTAGCTCGATGGCGGATCGTAGCATCAGCAGCACTAACAACGCTTTAGCGAAGCCGATATGGATGAAGCAAGCGGAAGAGGCCAAGCTGAAGAGCGAGGCTGAGAAAGCTGCGGCTGCAAAGGCTGCTTTCGAGGCCACGTTCAAAGATGTGAGTAACAAACCAGATACTCCTGCGCTGGACTCCGATTCAGATGATGAAGAAGAAGACGAGAGGGATTTGGCTAACAAGCCCATTGGCCCTGTCGACCCGGCCAAGTGTACCGCTGCTGGTGCAGGAATTGCTGGTGGGACTGCTTGCGGTCCCTCGACCTTCACGGTGGTGACTAAGGATGCTGATGGGAGGAAGGTGCCTCACGGAGGCGCTGAGATTAAGGTGACGGTGTCCCCTGGAGTTGGTGTTGGGGGAACTGAGCAGGATGGGATCGTGAAGGATATTGGAGATGGCTCTTATACGGTCACTTATGTGGTGCCCAAGAGGGGGAACTATATGTTGCATATTGAATGTAATGGAAAACCCATCATGGGTAGCCCATTTCCTGTGTTCTTCAGTCAAGGTAACTCCAGAAACTGTACTTTAAATTTTGTTGCAGTGGTTACTTACTTAGGCGAATACTATATTGTTCTGATATATTTCTGCAAGTATTGGATCTGTTTCCTCATTTGTTAACTAATTAGTGTTAGCTCTTTTGCTTTTTATCATAGCTAAATACAGAGCGCATCAAATCTTATTTTCAGTTAATGAATCTTATTCATTTCTCCATTAATGGTGTGTTGGCTTCACCTGTACATATTCTCATCTCTTGAATGTTGAATTGAACTTGCTTTTGCTATGCTGTTTCCTTTGTTTATTTTAGTATCTATGCCTCTTATCATACTTTACTGAACTAGTTGGGTATGTAATTGGTGTTGTCCAGGCACTTCAACTGGTGGTCTCCTAGGTGTGGCTCCTGCTTCGACATATTCAAACCATGTCAATCAGACTATGCCCAACATGCCTAATTATTCGGCATCGATGTCTGGGTCTTTCCCTGGATTGTTAAGTATGATCCCAGGAATCGTTCCTGGTCCTTCTGGTGGTGTTGTCTTGCCCGGAATTGGAGCATCACTTGGAGAAGTTTGTAGGGAATTTCTTAATGGTCGATGCACGCAATCGGATTGCAAGCTGAACCATCCTCCCCACAACTTACTGATGACCGCACTAGCAGCAACGACCACAATGGGCACTCTCAGTCAGGTGCCTATGGCACCTTCAGCAGCTGCTATGGCTGCTGCTCAGGCCATCGTTGCTGCTCAAGCTCTTCAAGCTCATGCTGCTCAGGTGCAAGCAGCACAGTCCAGTAAAGATACATCTGGTAGCTCTTCCTATTTTTATTTTTCTTCTTCTGTGGGTGTTGTTGTCTGCAGCATGCTTGAGATTTATTTCTACTTGGATGATTTCCCTGTGTTTTTGTTGTGCTTGCTTGTAAAATTTGTATTCTAGGGTTATTGACATATTTTTTTTTTGTTCAATTAGGCTCATCTGACAGATTTGGCAAGGATGAAGCACTGAAAAAGACTCTCCAAGTTAGCAATCTCAGTCCTCTGCTGACAGTTGAGCAGCTGAAACAACTTTTCAGCTTCTGTGGCACGGTTGTGGAATGTACAGTTACTGATTCGAAGCATTTTGCATACATAGAGTACTCGAAACCAGAAGAAGCAACCGCGGCTTTGGCACTGAACAATATAGATGTTGGTGGACGTCCTCTGAATGTGGAGATGGCTAAATCACTTCCCCAGAAACCAGTCGTAAACTCTTCAGTGTCCTCTTCATCTTCTTTGCCTGTGATGATGCAGCAAGCTGTTATCATGCAACAGATGCAATTTCAACAGGCTTTACTTATGCAACAGACAATGACTGCACAACAAGCAGCTAATCGCGCTGCAACCATGAAGTCTGCAACAGAGTTGGCTGCTGCCAGAGCCGCAGAGATAAGTATGAAGCTAAAAGCTGATGGACTTTTCGATGAAGAGGAACCTAAGAAAGAGAAGTCGAAGTATGTCATCTGATTTGTATTTATTATGTTCGCTGTTCCTTATGCATGAGATTAGAAATGATGGAATGCGAGATTAGTATTTGGTCTCCTGACGCTGGTTGGATCATATACTAGGTCCAGTTGCGTGTAGATCAGTCTTACATAAGTGTTAACCTATCTTGATTGGTTGATTTACCAGGTATATGGGCTGATAAGAAAAAGCAGAATTGGTTTTGCCATTCCATGGTTACTGGTCTTCTGGCTCAGAATTCTAACATGTTTCTATTTGTTTGCTTCAGCATCTATATTCATTGTGAATTCCACTTGACATTTCTCTTATATAGCATCATTTTGAAAATTCCAGTGTCATACCTTGGACATCTTGCATTTTCTTTGTCCACTAATGGGTTTACTGATGTTTCAAGGTCGCCATCACCTCCTCGAGCGAGATCCAAGTCAAGGTCCAGATCACCAATCAACTATCGGAAAAAACGAAGATCACCTTCTTACTCACCTCCACCACACCGCCGTAGGGAACGTACACCCTTGAGATCTCGAAATTACTTGAGGTACGACACAGGTAGGCGTTCTTTTAGAGATTCCAGAGATGATAGCGGCAGAAGTAGGAGAAGTGATTTGGATAGATCTTATGACCGTGATTTTTCTACTTCAAAGCGACACAAGAGTCGAAGCGTGAGCCCTCGAAGACGAAAATCCTACAGGGAGGATTCAGGTTCTCCAAGACGGCGCCTAGATAGTTCACCACACAGAACAAGAAAATCATCTCCTGGTCGGTCAAGATCACCAAGGCGTCACCGAGCTAGTAGGTCATCTCCTAGAACTGATGGTGATAGCAAGACTAAACGCCGGGAACGCTCTCTCTCTAACACTCCAGATGAGTCCAATGACAGGACAAATGGAGCCCAAGATGAAATAAAGCTACGGGAAAGGAGATCGAGATCACTTTCAAGTGAATCTTGGCCCGTCCAGGGCAAGTCATCTCCAACGAGCTCAAATTATTCTGAACAAAAGCAGAAGAGAAGATCCAGGTCTAATTCATTAGAGACCAAGCATCGCGTGGATGAGAAATTGGATGAGAGTTCTAGAGGTGGAAGTTCCAGACGTCGTGGAAAGATGTCGCGGTCAAGATCAGCAGAACATGGTCACAGGTCTAAAGAAAAAGGAACTGGAAGCCGAGACAAGAAGTCAAAGCATCGTGACCGAAACCGTTCGAGATCTTTATCAGCAGAAGATAAGCATCACAGAAAAAGTAGGTCGTCCCCAAGAGGCAGGGATGGCGATAGATCAAAGCATAGAAGGCACTCCAATTCAGCCTCTCCCGATGGTGAAAAAAACAGGCACAGGATAGATGAGGTCAGGGATAGAAAACCTAATCATTGCAGTAGAAGAAGGTCAAGATCAACTGAAGGCAAGATTCGTAGATCTCAAAAGGAGCTTGATGTATCTGAATCGAGGGAGAAGAAACACTTGAGGTCTAAATCTGTAGAGCGCAGGCGTCACTCGAAAGATGGCAAGGATAAAAAGAAGGACGATAACGTAGCTGATCACAAGGGCAGGTCGCACAGAACTGAACATAGCACTCAGGAAATAGATTTTATTCAAGAAGACTCTTCAAAGACTAGGGATGATGGAATGATGCGGGCAAAAGAAAAAGACCGTTGTTCGAATCAATCAGTAAAAGTCATGACAGCAGAAGATGATGAGGATCTAAACGGTAATTCTATGCCAGATGGTATTACTGATGGGGAATTTGTAGTACCATTGACTGAGGATCCATAGCATGGTAATGTCTACTGATTTAAAAGGGGAGACAAATATATGAGGTTTATTTAATTTTGACGAAATTGGTGATAACTTGGTGTGGGTTGCAGGAATCGTGATGCCAGGAGCAGTGAATTTCAGAGGTCAGCGTGGCTGAGATTGGCAGAGTTGGTACATGCAATATCAGAACTGGGAACAGCCATATCATGATTTGAATGCTGACGGGTGTTGTGTCGCAAGATTTGAAAGCCAACGGGTCAACAGGAGAGGGCCGCTTTGCTTGAAATAAGGGCTGCTTTAAGAAGACTTGTTAGAGTTTCTTTGGTGCTAGGATTCTCTGCCAGTAGTTAGCTCCTTATGAACATGCACCTTTTCTTTTGTGTTTGCTGTCTTTGCAGGTCCATACTGATTGGGTTGGAACTAGCCCTTGGCTGGAGCTGACTTACGGCTTAAGCTTCTCAAGAGCTGTGGCCATTTGCATCTCTACCTACAATGTTTGTAGCAATCTTCTATAACTGCTAGATGTATGTGGAGCTTCTTCTATTGCTGCCTTGTGGAATTTTTGGATAAAGTATTTCTTTGAACAGTTTGTGCATTTACCTTGCTTTTAGCTAGAGTGTGAATGAGGTCTGATTTTTTTTTTTTGGGGTGGTGACTGGAGAAGGTGCTTTGTCATTCATATAGTGAAAGATGGTGGATCTTTCACTTGGAAGGCCTTCTCGATATGTTTGCATGCTTTCATTAGTCCACTTGTAGGTCATATGCATTGGTGATTGAGATGGAAATTATGCATGCGACAGTTAAGTCATAGGTTCCTGTTTTTTATACCTTTGTGGTGTAGTGGACTAGTCATATCCCGAATGCGTGCAGGTTCGACATGCTGCGTTACTGAGATCAAGTGAAACCAGATAGTCTCCTTTTCTCTGAGATCTGGCATGTTGACATATAGTGATCCAAAAAGTGGAGGTATGCAGCAATGTAGTCAGCGCTTCTGTTCCAAGTTTCCTACTTGGTGCTCTTATGAATTATGATTAATAATGATTGCATTGGATAGAAGTGGCAGTGCTCAAGTAGCTTGTGCATGCTGTTATAAACACTGTTGCCTTATTTCTTCCGGTCTTTTTCTTTTGTTTTCCTTTTCCCCACGCCCCCTATTCTCCTTCTCCTTCTCCTTCTTTTCTCCTTCCAAGGTATATGGTTTGGTGAGTGAAGCTACTTTTGAGGTGAAAGTGAAACATGCTGTGGCAGGCGTGAATAGGCTCAGAGTTATGCTGCGGTCAAGTATCTGAAGATTGGCCAACTCCATTGTTCGATCATGTATATCATCAGGTAATTCCTCGTTAAAATTCCCTGGGAGAAGGCCAGGGTTATCAGGATGTAAAGCTCTCATTTTGTTTCTTCCATGCCTGCATTTGGATGGATCAACACCGTGTTCTCCATATATATAGCCAAGATAGAATTGACTCATGTGTTTTAGGATACTCGCCCAGATCACCATGAAACCAACAGGATACTGTAGTTAATGGTGGCATTTGTTTCACTATTGAATTTATGGCTAGACTCAGTATTTCCCACCATGTTCTGATGTAGTTGGCTGGGGGAAAGCAATTATATGAGATTAGCCGGTATTTGTCTGGAAATTGTTAGAGTTGATTGTTCTTTGGGTGTCTGTACCTTAGTCCCATGGAAGAGCGAGCATGTTTATGGGATAGGTCTATTGTTGTTTGCCTCTTGCCTTCTTCTCCCCAGTTTTTCTTCTGCTCTTTTCCTTTTTTGAGACTTGTGAAGCAGATGGGTACAGGGAGAGGTGCAGCAACCGGACTGATCTATACGTTCTTGCCAGCCACTGGAGTTGGAGCCTTTCCGTTCTTGCCTTCCGTTCAATTTGGTTGAACTCCGTCTGCTACTTATTTGAGTCACATGATCACATCTCAAGTAGCTCTGCATACTGCCACCAAGTTATGGTGCATAAGCAGGTTGTTTAGTGATTGATTCCTTCCTGCGTTCGACGGCTGTTATATGAGGTGGTGAAAAGTTTGGGAGAATTGTTGAGTTGCTCTCGTCTCTTAATTACTTAAATCATATCAGTTTGATCGAGTTGGTGTAAAGTTTGGGCGTCAATTCATCTGGTGCTCGACCTAGCAAACAAATGTCGTCTTCAGTACATTAGCAAGAAGCCTATCTCGTTGCCCCGATTGCAATGGCTCCGACATGTATTGCCTAGTTATCATAGTACGTCGCCTCTAACACGGTAACACCTCAGGGCATAGGGTAATCTGGGTTTGCAAAGCCTACTATACATCAATGAGCTTTTGGGACTTGAAGCTATTATTCTGAAGAAAAATGAGAGCGAAGTGTTCAGGAAACTGTTCCTCATCACCGTCTTCTTATCTTCCGATTTTTGTCGTGTTGGAAGTTCGTTGAAAGAGGCTTAGCTTGAGCGTTGCAGTACTTCTCTTGTGTTCTTACTGTTCGGAAAAAGAATAGGCAACTACTCCGATAAGGATATAAGTAAAGATTAAGTTGTTTTTTTGGCTTAATCTATTTACTCTTTAGATGCCTCACCACAATCATTCAAAATTGAGGGATTATCAATATCTACTTTTTGTTGAGATTCTTCACAATAACTCAAAATGAACTTTTGTAGCTTTGCAACAAAAATACAATCTAAACCTCCAAACAACATATTTGCGTAATATATCAATTGATTTAATACATTAAATAATAATACGCTAATTGTCTTAATAGATTAATTTAAAAAATCTCAATTTACAATGCTATTGGGTTGTTAAATATCACGAACTTTTGTTACAGCTCACAAGTCATTTATATGGCAATTGCAACGCCAAATCTTTTGAGAATGTTTGTTTATTTGGGAAGATCAGTGGCGGGGTTTCAATGGATTTTGCTCACCACCTTCCTACTAAACTAAAGTTTCCATTATATAAGTGGGTGATGTTTGGTGGAGTCACATTTGTAACTTTCTGTGTCCTTTTCACTTGTTTTATCATGAATGATGAAACACCAAGGAAAAAGGAATATGTCCAATTTTGGCTAGGCGTGCGTGAATCATGCTTCTATACTTTCACTAATATTAATATATATATAGCATACGTGAGTTTACTGTTGTCTTAGACTCGCAAGCTGATTGGACGGCTGTACATTTTATATTTTGAAATCTCAAATTTAATTAAATTACAATTTAGTCACTATAATGTACATTTTACATTTTGATGCTCCAAATTTAATTTTAATGTAAAATTATTGAAAAATTATGTTTTGGTATCTAAATTTATGAGATTTGCGTACCTGCAATTTTTTTTTTAAATTTACATATTGGTCTAATGTTTAAATTTCACTTGAATCCATGAATCCAATCCACCAATCCTTTTGAATCAATGCATGAATCCAATCCAGCATAACATAAATGTATAAATTTAATTTGTACCATACAAGATGTTGTATCACTCAACTGTAGGAGAAGATTCGGCCATTTTATATTTGCTCATTATGTGAAACATTAAATAAATGATAAAAGAGAGACGACTCTAAAATTTAGTACATTTACGGGGTACTAAACAAACTTCTACTAACTACATGTAACAAAATAGACGACATCTACATAAGCAAATGTCAATAAATTGCTACCGTGGAAATGGTTTATTGTTGTATTGACTGCCAACTAAAAGAATTGGTCAAAACCTTTCCATCATCTACTTCCTCTTCGTTTCATTTTTCACTAGCCTTCCATAACCCTTTCTTTATTTCTTTCTTTGCCTTCTTCATCTAACCCTAATCAGTATACAGTTTTTATGTATTCTAATCACAAGTATGAACGGGTCCATACACGACTTACCAACAGTCTAGAGAATTAATAATTGAACCATGAACCACTAACTTTTTCAGCTCAATGTCGAGTCCAATTAAAAATAAATATATATGGTTATTACTTATTAGAAATTCATCATTTTCCATTATGGAATTTGAAGGTGTGAAATATTAAGCGAGTTCCAGTTTGTATTCCTTTTGCTTCTTTCTAGAGTTTTTTTTTCACCCGGGCTAGAATTTTCAACAATTATACATGGAATGTTTGGCTAGGTATCTACACATATCAAATAATAATTTCCATTTTTCTATAAAAAAGTAAATAATTATCATCTTAAATACATCACCATAAAGGAATTAAGCCTCAACTATACAAATTACAGTTCGATACCTAAACTTAATAGATCTTTAAATTTATAACCTAAATTTATTTTTTTGGCACATAAGTCCTCAAAATATTGATGGAACATTACATTTTAGTACCTAAAATTTTTGTGTATTACATTTTGGTACCTAAACTTTTGAAGTTCTACAAATAGGTCTAATTTTTGTATGTGTAATTAAAATACTCTCGAATAAATGTGTATCCATAACCAACTCATACACATTTAGATTATAAAAGTAAATATACACACCCTACCTAAACGCATGTACAAACTTTCAAACCCATATATACGTCACCCATACCCTACCCATAATCAATGAGTTTACTTGGGTTTAGATAAATATAATTTATTAGCCAAAATTTCAAAATTTTTAATTGGATGTTGACCGCAATATATCTATTCTTAGTAAATATCATATTGTCAAGCCAATATTACTAACAAAAATCCTAACAAAAAATTAATTTTATAGTAATAATACTAACAAACCACCATAACGTGCCACATAATACATGCTCATAGGTCATTTTCACCCAGCGACAAGGCGCGGCATCCCCACCTAGTCCATATATATAAAGTTGAAGTTTGGTTATATATAAAGGTGAAGTTTGGTTGCGGTTGTATAACAATTTACATTTTGATACATCGAATTTGATTAAATCACAACTTAGTCAATATAATGTACATTTTATATTTTGATACTTCAAATTTAATTCTAATGTAAGATTCAATATATATAAAGTTGAAGTTTGGTTACGGTTGCATAAAAATTTATATTTTGATACCCCAAATTTAATTAAATCACAACTTAGTCACTATAATGTACATTTTACATTTATATACCTAAATTTAATTTTAATGTAAAATCATTGAACAATTATGCTTTAGTATGTAAGTTTTATGAGATTTTCGTACCTACAATTTTTTAAATTTAAATATTGGTTTAGATTTCACTTGAATCCATGAATCCAGTCCAACTTATCCTTTTGAACCAATCCATGAATCCAATCCACCATAACATAAAGGTATAAATTTAGTTTGTACAATACAAGATGTATCACTCAACTTTAGGAGAAAATTCGACCATTTTATATTTTCTCATTACGTGAAACATTAAATAAATGATAAAAGAGAGACGACTCTAAGATATTTTGCAAGAGCGAATTTATAAACTCATTTAGTATATTTACGGGGTACTAAATAAACTTCTACTAACTAAATGTAACAAAATATGCGACATCGACATAAGCAAGTGTCAATAAATTGCTATGGGGAAAAGAGTTGAATGTTGTATTGACGGCCAACTAAAAGAATTGATCAAAACTTTTCCATCATCTACTTCATCTTCATTTCATTTTTCACTCGCCTTCCATAACCCTTTCTTTATTTGCTTTCTTCGTCTAACCCTAATTAGTATACTATTTTTATGTATTCTAATCACAAGTATGAACGAGTCAATACACGACTCACAAACATTCTAGAGAACTAATAATTGAACCATGAACCGCTAACTTTTTCAGCTCAATGTCGAGTCCAATTAAAAATAAATATATATGATTATTACTTATTAGAAAATCATCATTTTTCTTTATGGGATTTGAGCAGGGACGGACATACCTTAGAGGAAGGTGTGTCACCCAACACACCTTGGCTCAAAATATTTGGTAGGAACTCAAATTTTTTCGGTACAAAAAATTCGAACATGGGACCTCCTACACACCTTCGATAATTGTAATCGACACATGATAGGGCAAAAGCGCAATGCTTCAATTCCTATCTCGTAGTAAACCGGAAAGTCCGGGTATCGTCTCTCAGGGACTGGTAAAACCTTATAATATATCAATTCTATGAGCAAACTATAAGTGAAAATAGTTTAATGAGACTAATTTCTAAAATCAAAATAAACTAAACAAATTAAGCAAATGAAAACTGTCGGGAGAAATTCAATGGAGAAAGCTCTGGGAGAAACACCGGGACTCACTACCTATCATATCAAAATTAATTCACATATTCTAATCAGTTTAATCCAACTCTCTACAGCCAGGATATCACGAATGTGCTAGCTATCCCTGTCGGGAATTACTTCGTACTAAACAATTAATTCAAATCCTACTGTCGTAGCTCAATGACTTAATTATTTAGCCTGAAGATCGATATCCTATTTAAGACCGCATAACACCTTATTTAATCCACTGTCGCTTCGATAAGTTACTATGTCACATGAAATATGTTCAGTTATTAGGGTTTCACTGTCGCTAATAACCTATTTAACTACAAATCAATGTATTGGTGGCTAGTCAACACAAAGCATTAAGTAATTTCATGCAATAGAGTTTGGAAGAAAAGAAATACGAATTAATCCATCAAATCCAGAAATAGCTACATCCTATGGTGTTTCTCCCAGAAATTGGGGTTTAGTTCATGATGAAACTGAGATAAATCGATATAGTTTTGATCATCATATTCTAAATCAACAATAAACAACTAATTTGGTTCAGAAAATCCAACCAAATAATCGCTTTCGTTGAATTCAGTTCAAGCTGTCTTGGAAAAACTCGATCGCCAAGCACCCTGCTGCTCTCCACTAGCCCAACTTGCGCTGCGCCCTGCTGCAATTTATTTCCTCTGCTGAGAAATTCTGTTCCGACTTCCGTCCCAACTTTATTCCCAGCCGACCTCCCTTTTTTTTCCCCTAATTCTCCACTCCAAATTCCGTGTCCCTCCAGAGAATTCTCTTCCCAAAATATGTGTCCAATTAATTGCCCACCAAGAAAATCTCCGTCCCCCTTCTTTAAATTCCGCCGCCAGCCATTTTACAAGCCCATCTAGCTGGGATTTTAGCCCATTACCGCTCCCCTTTTGATCCCAATCCAGCTGTTCCATCCAGGCCCCATGCTATTTAACCAGTGATTCGAGAATTGTTTGCCTGTGCAACTTCTTTTTCGTGTTTTCTTCACTTGTAATACATCAAACTCATGGCACTAGGCAGTAATGGGTTTTCAACCATTCTCGGGTTAGTGAGCCCTAAAATAGCACCAATCAGCTTAAACATACCATGGGATAATCACATACAGTTCAAGAATCAGACATATTAAAGCCTATTATCACAACCCCACACTCAATTGTTGCTTGTCCCTAAGCAACGACTTGAACAAGTGAACGATAATTGGAGGAAACACAACACTGACCAGGAGATACAACCTTCCTCAAAACACAAAACCCATGACACATAAAACACAACATCAACACAAGAAATTTACCCTTGTACTCTTGTGATAATCAGTAGTTTCTTTCTCAATGGATGAGTTGTGCTTTAATGATCATACATTTTTACCCCACACTCAAGGCCTTTGCAACCATTTAACATCGATTGACTCCAATCCATCAAAAACTCAAATAGCAACACTCAATTCCGATCGTCGGTAGTGGGTGATTAACAACTTATGGTGTAACAGTTATTAGGAGAATCTAACCACATCAATGAGGTGCATATCTCGTGAGGACAATCTGGCTTACTCACACCAATCATAAGCAATTAACAAGGCATGAGTCTCAAAAACTAATGGGGGAAGCCTTTCGCAAACATGATTTTAACTTTAAGCACATCACTACCTTTTATGACAAGGAGAGGCTTTCTCTCTTCTTATTTTGCTTGCCGAGTGGTCGTATTTAGTACAAGTGGGATTTGTTTCTTACTACCGGTGACCGAGCAAGAGCAATTTATGCTTCTTAGCACTCGCATAAGGGCTTCTTTTAACTCCTTTTCCTCGGTCCGTGTGGAGGGTCATTGCACATCCTCTAATGGCACTTCACTCAACTGGGGATCGTACTTGATAAGCAACATCATACGGCCGCGAACCGATGCTCTGTTGAATCTTTCCTAATCCCCATGTGAAATGAGTGATTGCCTCACACGATTTTGGTATTTTACCCACACTTTAATTGTTATGGAAACTTTCTTATCTTTTACTTGTCAGGTAGTGTTTTACTTTATAAAGATACAGTTCACCCCATCATAAAACATTCAAAACAGAGAGACTCATTGCAAAGTCAACAACTCACAATAGATGCAAGTAAGCATGGTATCCAAACATGTCGAATGATCAATGTTCTCCACCTAACCACTTCACCAAAAGTCGTTACACTATCTTCACAAAAGAGAACGTTGCTAAAAGAGTTTGTTCATTCAAATCATATCAAGTCAGTCAAAACATTCAAGCTCATTGTGAAGAACTATGCAATTCAACACTAGTGGGGTGATTTTGATGATTTCATTCAAGCACAAACTCATTTTCAAGGCATCACGGTCATTTACATCATGTTACCACAAGAGTACAAGGTTTTGTTTTTAATTTTTCTGATTTTTTGGTGTTTTATAGCCATTAGCTTTGCACAGGCAGACTGCACCAATACAGGCAAACTGCATGCAGTTTGGCTGTGCTCAACCTAATGGCAATTTTTTTTGTTTGTTTTTTACCACATGCAACAGGGACAAACAAACACTAAGACTCACCACCCCACACTCAGGATGGAACAATGTCCCTAATGTTCAACTCCTAATCTAAACATGCACGGGTTTAACACAACTAAAAAGAAAAATAAAGAAAAGAAAACTTACCTTGGGTTGCCTCCCAAGAAGCGCTTGTTTAACATCCTCAGCCTGACGTTCATGGAGCTTTCAACAAATGGTTATGGAAAGGTATCCAGAATACCCTCCCGAGCAATGATAGAATGCATAACCTCCATCCAACATATGAGTAACCTCTGCAGGGCCATGTGTGCGAAAATTTGGCATGACCTTCTTAGTTGGCATGTTGGATCCTTTAGTGAGGCGTAGGTGGTATTGCAACGCCTCAAGCAAGTACTCTTCCTGTTCCAATGTTAGTGAAGAAGGAATAATAACAGGAAGATTGAAATCCTTACCCAAATATCTATACTTGGGGTGATTTGACAAGGATTTCTGTCCTTGCTTTGATTTCATAATCTGAGCTGATAGGACATGTGATCGTTCTTCTGGTGGTCTACTATCACAGGAAGAGGAATTTTTCCTTTCTCGAGCTCCACTTTCAAGGTCATCAAATGCATCGTGATTATGATCAACTTGAAAGACATTAAAAATTTCCTCCTCCTTACCTACTCGGAATGTCAGTTTGCCTCTCCCAACATCGATGAGTGCATCTCTAGTTGCTAGAAAAGGTCTCCCAAGGCCTTTCCACTCCTCAATGTCACTGCCACAACTTTAGCCTCTTTTGGATTCCTCTCGGTATTAGCCGGTAATGTCCCAGGAATCCTGCCCTGCATATCCGCCAGAGTTTGAGCCATCTGACCCATCTGCCTCTCCATAGCTAGCATAGACGATTGTAAATTATTGTTGATGGCTAGCTGTTAAGTGACAAATTGATCCAGGCCCTTCAGATTATTGTCAGTTTTCTGCATGTGAGCCAGAAGCAATTCTTCAAGTTGTGGTTTCTTCTCTGGTTGAGGTAGAGGTTGTTGTTTCTGCAGGCCTGGAGGTGGAATGTTGCGAGCACCAGTTGGGTTGTTGTTCGCCCAGGAAAATTTAGGATGCTTCATCCATTGCGGGTTGTAGGTATTTGAATACATACCACCCTGGCCTTGATTTCGCTGATTGTTGATATAGTGCACATCTTCCAACTGATCAGCTACCAGTGGACATGGATCCCTATGATGAGCACCTTCACATAATTCACAAAAAGCAACCTCCTCTTGTCTACCAAGAGCCATCTTAGCCAGCCTTCGTTCGAGTGCGTTGAACTTGGAATCCAGCTTAGCATCAATCTTTGCTTCTAAACTTGCAACTCTGTCTATCTCATGCAAGCCTCCTCTCCTTCGAATGCTGGTCTCACTACCCCATTAAGTATCTTCAGAGCATATCTTCTCTACCAGTTCATATGCTTCTGGCGCTTCCATTCTTGTGAAACCATTTCGGGAAGCATTATTCAGAGCATCTCGGAATTGCCTTCAAATTCCGTTGAAGAAAATAGAGATCACGTTCCAATCTTCAAGACCGTGGCTTGGGCATCTCATTAAAAGCTCCTTATAGCGCTCCCATGCCTCGGTCAGACTCTCGTCTTCAGCTTGTTTAAAAGTGACAATTTCCTCTTCCCTCTTCATTGCCTTGGCAGGAGGAAAGTACTTATCCAAAAAGGTCTTCTCAAGCTGACACCATATTGTGATGGAACGGGGTGTTAAGTTTTGGAACCAGTGTGATGCATTCCCTAGCAGAGAAAATGAGAACATCCGAAGACGGATGGCATCATCAGACACAGTCGGGCTCTTCATCGTATCACAAATGCTTGCAAACCGGCGGAGATGTTCATCAGGATCCTCGATGCTAGCCCCTGAGAAGGTGTACTCATTAGTGATCATATTGATGAAGGCTGGGGTAATCTCCATGTTTGCATCCCCAGCCGGAATGACAACACATGAAGCTCGGGCTCTAGTCCTTCGATTCAAGCGAGCCCTGATCGAACGATCCTGTTCTGCCATGATGACAGGCTCGATGATGCGCGGCGGTGGTGTTGGTGGTGTAGGGATGACAGGTGGTGACATCTGCCTTCTCGGTTAACGATTCTGAGTTAGGGAAGGCCTAGGGGTTGTGGATGTGGTAGGCTGCTTCCCTAACTTGACCTGCTTCCTGTTCTGTCGGCAAGTCCTCTCGATCTCGGGATCTAGTGGCAGTAAATTGCCAGTCGTCCTCCTTGGCATGCACGAGGAGGATAAACCTGAAAAATTCACCTGCACACTAACACCCAGATCAAAATAGTTCACTCACAAAAATCAACAAAAAATAAGGTATGACAGTCCCCGGAAACGGCGCCAAAAACTTGATAGGGCAAAAGCGCAATGCTTCAATTCCTATCTCGTAGTAAACTGGAAAGTCCGGGTATCGTCTCCCAGGGACTGGTACAACCTTACAATATATCAATTCTATGAGCAAACTATAAGTGAAAATAGTTTAATGTGACTAATTTCTAAAATAAAAATAAACTAAACAAATTAAGCAAATGAAAACTGTCGGGAGAAATTCAATGGAGAAAGCTCTGGGAGAAACACCGGGACTCACTACCTATCATATCAAAATTAATTCACATATTCTAATCAGTTTAATCCAACTCTCTACAGCCAGGATATCACGAATGTGCTAGCTATCCCTGTCGGGAATTACTACGTACTAAACAATTAATTCAAATCCTACTGTCGTAGCTCAATGACTTAATTATTTAGCCTGAAGATCGATATCCTATTTAAGACCGCATAACACCTTATTTAATCCACTATCGCTTCGATAAGTTACTATGTCACATGAAATATGTTCAGTTATTAGGGTTTCACTGTCGCTAATAACCTAATTAACTACAAATCAATGTATTGGTGGCCAGTCAACACAAAGCATTAAGTAATTTCATGCAATAGAGATTGGAAGAAAAGAAATACGAATTAATCCATCAAATCCAGAAATAGCTACATCCTATGGTGTTTCTCCAGAAATCGGGATTTAGTTCATGACGAAACTGAGATAAATCGATATAGTTTTGATCATCATATTCTAAATCAACAATAAACAACTAATTTGGTTCAGAAAATCCAACCAAATAATCGCTTTCGTTGAATTCAGTTCAAGCTGCCTTGGAAAAACTCGATCGCCAAGCGCCTTGCTGCTCTCCACTAGCCCAACTTGCGCTGCGCCCTGCTGCAATTTATTTCCTCCGCTGAGAAATTCTGTTCCGACTTCCGTCCCAACTTTATTCCCTGCCGACCTCCTTTTTTTTTTCTAATTCTCCACTCCAAATTCCGTGTCCCTCCAGAGAATTCTCTTCCCATAATATGTGTCCAATTAATTGCCCACCAAGAAAATCTCGGTCCCCCTTCTTTAAATTCCGTCGCCAGCCATTTTACAAGCCCATCTAGCTGGGCTTTTAGCCCATTACCGCTCCCCTTTTGATCCCAATCCAGCTGTTCCATCCAGGCCCCGTTCTATTTAACCAGTGATTCGAGAATTGTTTGTCTGTGCAATTTCTTTTTCGTGTTTTCTTCACCTGTAATACATCAAACTCATGGCACTAGGCAGTAATGGTTTTTCAACCATTCTCGGGTTATTGAGCCCTAAAATAGCACCAATCAACTTAAACATACCATGGGATAATCACATACAGTTCAAGAATCAGACATATTAAAGCCGATTATCAACACACCTTGTTACATTAAATTTTTTTGTTGTTATCATAATGTTAATAAAATATGCAAAAATAGGAGTTATCGGACTTTAAACAAGGTAGTTAATTAGTTTATTATAAAAAAGTAAACAATTAATTAACTATTTAATACGTAGTGAGTATTTAGAGAGATAGCTATCACCTTAAAGATAACCTCGATAAATTGAATGAAAATTTAGTTGATTTATAAGCTGGTTTAGTAAAGTAATTAGATAGTGAATTCCATGTCGTTAATTTCCAACTTGCTTTATGGTTTAATTATTGCTTTTCACGTTGACGCTTTTCGCCGCCCTCCAATTGTCGGCGCCGTGCCAGTGAAATACTCATTCTCATTCAAACTTTCACGTTGACGCTTGTGGCCACTCTTTCAGCTTCTCATCCTAGTTTTCCCATCATAAATGAGAGTTGACTTTACCTCTTGCAATTGTAAGCTACAAAATGACATTTTTCATATATGAGCTTAATTTGGAATGATATTTGATATCAGTTGAGTGACCAATTTATGAACAATTGTTTAATTGTTTACATAAAAAAAGATTTTATTTGCAACCTAATGGACAAATGTAATTAAGAAATCTCTAGAATATAAAAATTCGTCATAACTCACTGTAAACACAATGAAATTGGTGAAATTTATGAACAAAATATATTTTTTTATATTTATGCTTAATTATTTAATTTTTATTTTAAAATTACTTTATGGGCCGACACACCTATCTCAAAATCCTGGGCCCGCCACTGAATTTGAGGACATGAAATTTTAAGCGAGTTCCAGTTTGTATTCCTTTTGCTCCTCTTCGGAGGTTTTCTTTTTCACCCGGGCTAGAATTTTCAACAATTATACATGGAATGTTTGGATCAAATAAATAGTTCCCATTTTTCTATAAAAAGGAAAATAATTATCATCTTAAATACATCACCATAAAAGGAATTGAGCCTCAACTATGCAAATTACAGTTCTGTACCTAAACTTAACAAACTTTAGATTTATAACCTAAATTTATTTTTTTGGCATACAATTCTTCAAAATATTGATGGAACATCACATTTTAGTACCTAAAATTTTGTGTAATACATTTTGCTACCTAAACTTTTGAAGTTCTACAAATAAGTCTAATTTTTATATGTGTTATTAAAACACCCTCGAATAAATGGGTATCCATACCCAACTCATACACATTTAGATTATGGAAGTAAATATCCATATTCTACCCAAACCCATCTACAAACTTCTAAACCCATATATACGTCACCCATACCCTACCCATAAGCAACGCGTCTACTTGGATTTAGGTAAATATCATATAATAGCCAATTTTTTTTTAAATTGGATGTTAACCGTCATATATCTCTTCTCGACCAATATCATATTGTCATGTCCATATTACTAACAAAACTACTAATGAAAAATTAATTTTATAATAATACTAACAAAATACCATAACAGACCACTTAATACATGTCAATAGGCCATCTCCTTTCCTCAATAAGGCGCGACATTGGCACTTAGTTAATATATATAAACTTAAAACATAGTTATTGTTAACTAACTATTACATTATTATCTACTTACCATGTGGAGAGATAAGTGTCGTGAGAGAGAGAAGAGAGTTCCACCCTCTCGGCTCCCACATTAACTCATTAATAGGTCTAAACTAGGATAAATCGAACAACCCATTAACTCTTGGCCCACTAGCTCGACCATATCAATTGGCTATTTAGGTTGACAACCTTGATTGAAAGTATCATTGTGTGAAAATATTATTTATGATGAGTAAAAACAGGAGAATATAATTAAATATTGAGATAAATCAAAGTAAAAAGGGTCAAGAACGGGCGAGACAGTGTGGCACAAGACGAAGTAGTACACATGCTCCATCCCACGCTACTAGGTGCCCCAACACGAATCAGGTCGGGTAATACTTGGAGGCGGGAAGGTTCAAATTGTCATCATTACTATCAATCTTATTATAGCTTTAAGTCTGTGTTGTAATTGTTTTAACAAGTTTACATCATTCTTTTTATATTTTGATATACAACACATCATGTGATGTGCTATATACCGAATATGATTTTTCAAATGTCAATAAAATATAAAAATTATTATTAATTATAAATAATATCTTTGGCTAAATTAGAGGTAACCAAAAGATTTGAAAAATAACAAGGTTGAGATAGAAGGGAACAAAATAACGATTGGATTCAGATAAAGATAGGCGTGATCCAAATAGGTATGAACTTATTTATTTATATCATCTTAATTATAGAGTGACGTTTCTCGGTAGAAATTGTGGCAATTAATATTGACATAATATTCACCCATAAATTTTAATTTTCCTAAATAACATTCACTTGTGTATATTTTTTATACATAAAATCACTAACCATACTTTATGAGGTGTTTGGTATGGAGTTAAAATGTTCCAACGATATAAAATACAATTCCCCATAATTAAAACATGAACCTAAAGGGAAACGAGGGGGTAAAGGTGGTCGTGGTAAGGCTCGTAAATGAAGGTGTTAGCATGGAACACAAGGGGGTTTGTCGCTGATAGTAATTATACAAATATACTAAATAAAATTAGACAATATAGTTTAGATATAATAGCCATTTTAGAACCTCGGATACAAAAAACAGATGAGAAGAAGTTCCTCGGAAAGTGATTTGTCGACTAGAATAATAATATTTTCTATAATGGAGCTGGACTTGGAAATATTTGGTTAGTCTGGAGGAAAGAAGTCTCTCTCACTGTCTTGCATTCATCGGATCAATTCGTCTAGGTTATGGTGGCTGGTAGTAGTCCTTACTTTGCAACCTTCATTTATGCTTCCAATGAAGAAGGGCAGAGAAGAGTGATGTATGAGCATCTGACCAGGATTCGAGTGGTTCACATGCCTTGGATCATTATGGGTGATTTTAATGCTATCAGGAATCCAGGGGAGGGGTCAAATCATCCGCAGTATTCGTCCAATATGGCTGATTTTGATGAGTGGTTGAATAACATTGAGGTTGAGGAGCATAAAGCAACAGTGCCTTGGTTTAAGTGGTTGAACAAGCAAACAGGAAACCCCATTGCAAGGCGTCTTGATAGAGCTTTTGTCAATCTGAAGTGGTTGGAGGGGTTCAAGGACAATGAGGTGCATCTGTTATTTCCTGGTGTATCTGATCACTGCCCTGTCCTATGTCAAACTGAAGTTCCTTTAAAGTCTTTGCCAAAACCATTCAAGTTTTTCAACTTTTGGCTGAAGCATCCAGAATTTGATAAACTTCTAAAGGAGGCTTGGGGGAACTCATGTTATGGCGTCTCCTCTTATAAGGGTTTATAAGAAGCTTTGAATCATAAAAGGGTTGTTGAAGAAGTAAAATAGAGAAGAATACTCAGATATAAGGAGTAGGGTGAGAGAGAAAGAAATGCAGCTAGCAAATTTCCAACAGGAAGCTCTGGTTAATCCTTTTGGCCCTGTTTTTGAAGAAGAAAGTCATCTCTCAAATGAGTTGGTTGTTTTGATGAAAGCAGAAGAAATATTCTTAAGACAAAAATCGAGGGAACTGTGGTTGTAGACATGAGATTCTAATTCAAGCTACTTCCATCTCTCTGTAAAGACTCGACAAAAGAAGAACACAATCACTTCGTTGATTGATGCAACGGGGAACAGAGTTACTGAGGTGGATGATATGAGTCAAGTAGCGGTTGGATTCTATAAAGGGTTACTTGGAAGTGCAAATAGTGAAGTGGTTGAAGTCCCTGAGGGGTACTTTGATGAGATACTCAAGAGGACTCTCTCTGCTGATCAGGTTGAGAGACTATGTGATCTGGTTACTTCTGATGAGATCAAAGATGTTCTATTTCATATGGACCCTGACAAGAGCCCAGGACCATATGGGTACAATGCTCACTTCTTTCAGGCTACCTAGGGGGGTGGTTGGAGAGGAAATTACAGCTGCAATTCAACACTGTTTAGCTGAGACTAAGATACCTGTCGCAGACGGTCCGTCCGCGACGCGGCGCGAAAAATAGGAGTCGCCACCAACCTCTAAAAGTGGATTGGACACTTTGAAAAGTCAAGCTTAAATCGGTTAAGATTTAAGGCTCGCCTCGGTCTGTGAAATAGATTTTTGGGTTCGGGGTCGGTAGGTTACGAGTAAGGAAGGTATTAGCACCCTTACATCGCCCTAAGTCGGTACTAAAAGTTTGATTTGTCTTTTTATTCGAGATTTGTTTGTTTGAAATTATTTGAATTTACTTCGAATATGATTTCATTTTCAAGATAATTACATGTTCATCAACATGTAATTACGTTGGTTGAATTAATATACATTTTGGGTAGTTTTAGGGAAAAGGGTTTTATTTATTAGTGGACTTGGACCCGTAGGCCGCCTACGTACCCGGCATCTCGGGATCAAAGCCGTCGTAGTTCACCCGACATTTTACTTATTTTAAAACTTTTGCTTACGACCCATCGATACGTAATAGTTGCTTAATTTGATGACGATCCATCGATTATAATTTTTTGAGATAAGTTAAATGATTATTGATCACATACCCATCGATACGTATTAGTTTATTGATTTAAGCACGATCCATCGATCATAAATGGTTTGAGATAGATTAAATGAGCATTGATCAAGTACCCATCGGTACATAATAGTTTATTGATTTCAACACGATCCATCAATCATAATTTGTTTAAAATAGGTTAGGTGATAAATTGATCATGTACCCATCGGTAATGACTTGATCGTATAATTTGATAAAATAATATTTTAGGATTTATGTGGACTTGAACCATTTAGGTCGTCTACGTACCCGACATTTCAGGATCAAAATCCGCGTAGTTCGATTTACATTTTAATTCGGATTAATTAGATTGGAAAGTCATTTATCTTTGGAAAATATTGTTGATAGTTATTATTCTAGACCTATGAAATTATAGAAAGCATCCGTTCCAAACCTCAAATTTTGTTCGTTTTATTGGTAAAAAGGATTTTAAGGACTCATCTTAGACGCAAATGAGCTCCAGAACAAAGAGCGGCCGTCCCTCTCCTTCTTCTTCTTCTTCTTCTTCTTCTTCCTTTCTTTGAACTTTACTTCTTCCTTTCTTCTCACGACGCGCAGGGGGAACAGTTGGCGGCGGCAACGCGGTGCTGTGGCTGGAGGTTGTTGCGGCGGAGGATGCGGGGGGTACGACGGCGATGATCGAGGACGGCGGTGACACGTCGGTGAGGAGTGACGACGATGGAGATGCGAGGCGCGATGGTGGGAGGTGACTGGTGGTGTTGGGCAGATCGCGAGCGGCAGGCTCGGCAGAGAGGAGCTGTGGCGGCAAAGGCAGTTCAGTGGCACCGGTGAGTTTTGCTCTTTTTTTTTTTAATTTAAATTGTGTGTTGGCTGGAGCTGTAAAATGGTAAGGTTTTTTTTGGGATGGAATTGGAATGGAGGATTGAACAGAGTATGCGCCTTTTCTTTTCTCCTTATTCTCATCCTGCTCCTGCTGCCTCTTCTTATAAGAAACGGAAGACCACTCACTATACACCCATCTCTCAATCACTTCAGCCTACCCTCATCTCTATAATCAATTTTCTGTACCCAGATCTATTTTCTCTTCCTTACCATTTACTCTTCTGCCTTGTACAACTCACCAAAGCATGGAGCTTGGTTATCTCTCTTGTTTTTGCAGGCAATGAGTTGAGGATGGAAGAACAGAGGAGGAGCGGGTTTGGTCTGGTGAATTGAACCGGTCTCACCCGCTATGTGGGTTGCTGGGACAGAATCTGTAGGCTATGGGCCTTTTCGTTATTTCTCTTTTGTTGTTGTTTTTTTATGGAATGGGTTGGAAGCCCAATGCGTAACAGAAATGGATTGTAATGTGCTGATAAATTTCTAGTGTTTAAACCTATGTGGTTCGAATAAAATTATTTGTTACGAAATTAACCCGGACAAAAATGGGTGTCAACAATACCGAGGAAGGTAAATGCTACTATCTTAGCTTTAAGTACTAAGATTCCCAATCCAGAAGATATGAAGAATTTCAGGTCTATTTCTTGCTGCAATATAATCTATAAATGTATATCCAAAATTGTAGCCAATAGACTTAGTGCATTGCTTCCTAACCTAATAAGTAAGAACCAAATTGCTTTTGTGAAGGGGAGGGTGATTGGGGAGAATATCCTCTTAGCACATTAGTTGGTACATAAGTATGCTAGGACAAACATCTTTAGTAGGTCAGCTCTTAAGATTGACTTGATGAAAGCCTTTGACTCTGTCAACTGGTATTTCATTGGTAGGGTCCTTAGAGCAATGGGGTTTCCTGTCAAGTTTGTTGAATGGATCCAGATGTGCTTTGAGCATCCAATACTTAGTGTTGCTTTCAATGGGGGATGGTAGGATATTTTGAAGCTAGGCAGGGATTGAGGCAAGGAGATCCCCTTCCCCCTTACCTCTTCACGGTTGCTATGGAGGTCTTTACATGTTTGTTGGATAAAACTGCTGAAAAAGGTTTCTTTCCCTACCATCCTATGTGATAGAAAGTGGAACCCACTTGTGTTTTGCAGATGACCTGCTGGTCTTCTCAGATGGCTCTAATTACAATATGCAGAGTATTCAGAGGGTTCTTAATGATTTCTATAAGCTTTCTGGCCTTAAGTCGAATCCTAGCAAATGTGAATTGTATCTAGGAGGTCTAAAGAAAGAGGACATGGTTGCAATGGCTAATCGATATGGTTATTCCTTAAGGAAATTCCCAGTTAGGTATTTGGGGGTGCCTTTAGTTGCAGGGAAACTATCTGTGGCTGCTTGTAAGCCTATGATAGATAAGATTACAGCTAGAGTGCAAGACTGGAAGGCAAAAACTCTAACATATGCTGGCAGAATTGAATTGGTTGGCACAGTTCTGTATGGTCTTACTCAGTATTAAATGAGTGTTTTCCTCCTTCCTAAGACAGTTCTAAGGGAAGTTGAGCGTATTTCTAGAAATTTTTTGTGGTCAGTTGGGGATGGAGTTCGGTTGAGAGCAAAGAATCGCGTGGAAACATCTTACTTACCCCAAGGATGAAGGAGGCAGGGAGTGAGAGAACTAGGTTCCTGGAATACAACTTGTGTTTTCAGGCAAATCTGGTTAATAATGATGAAGCACGGTTCGATTTGGGTGGCATGGATTAAAGCTTACAAGCTAAAAGAAAGGGAATTATGGGCATATACTAGCTCTACTGGCTCCTGGAATTGGAGAAAGCTGCAGAAGATTAAAGGCAAGGTTCCTAATCTTTTCAGCTTGTCTAATGGCACATTGTTATGGAATGATCTCAAGATGCCACAGTATTCTACCAAAAAAATCTGGGAAACTGTCAGGCCGAAGCAAGGAAAGGTTCCCTGGGCAGGATTGATCTGGAAAGGTCCATCTATCCCTCGGAATAGGTTTTTATGTTGGCTTATTGTCATCGGAAGAATCCAAACGAAGGATAGGATGAAGGAATGGGGATTTCAGGGGTTAGATGCATGTGTTTTTTGTGATGTATGTGCTGAAAACAGGGATCACCTTTTCTCTTTTTGTCACTACTTCAAGGAAGCTTTCATGCATCGTTTCGGCCAATTCACTACCTTCAGGCCAAGGGATTGGGAAGAAGGGATGAAATGGGTGACCAAACACTTTGGCAGGAAGGGTGACGAGGCTGCTGCAGGAAGGCTCATCTAGCAGTCTTTGATGAGTCATTTACGGTGAGAAAGATGTAATCGAGCTTTTGGGGCAGAAAAGAAGACTGTGGAGGTACTGGTGAAGGTTGTGAAGATGGAGGTAAAGACGCTGGGTTGGGAGCTGTTTACTTAGAGGTTCTAGTTGAGAAACATAAATTCTGATTCTGTTTTCTTACCCTGAGGTTCATTTATTTTCACTTTGGTCGTTTTCGTGTATACGGGTCTTCCGAGACTCTGTAAAACCCATACCTAGATGGCAAGGTTGTTGCCAACACCCTTTTTGATGAAATAGAATTTCCGATCGTAAAAAAAAAACATGAAAATAGAGTTATGCGAATTTCATTTTCGCACAAATTGTGATATATGTAAGTTTCCCATACATTAGATTCCATTCTCGATATGAGACTTTTTCCTTCCATTTTCCAAACTAATTTATCACTTAAAAAATAATTTTCACACCATAAATTCAATAAACCAAATATAGGGACATGCAAAATTGAATACTAAATTAAACGAGTCAAATAGTCGCAGTAATATGCGCCATGCCATCTAATTTTATTCTAATAATGATTGTTTGAAAAAAGAAAAATTCTTTTGAAGAGGACTCAATTGAAGCAGATCATATAGAAGGTCGATGAGCTAATGAAGGCTGATACAGACTTATGAGAGAGTTTTTCGTTTACGTTGCTTGTTTTTTTTGTGATTGAAATGAGGCGCAGAAACGCCAAGAAGAGAGAAAGCAGGGTTAAGGGGGAGGGTTACAGAGGGAGTGACAATATTCCTAGGTAAAGTCAACCCACGATCATCATCCTTTAACGTATCAATAAGTTGGGCTGGAGGGTTGACTAGTTCATGCATACCGTAGGGATAGACTAGTTCATGCCAAACTAAGGTATTAATCCTAAAGTTAAACAAACATGATATGGTGGTAAAATAGCAGGCTATCAGTTCCCCTTCAATACTTCAATTTAATTCCGTAAAGCTGCTAGATTTTTTTTCCTCTAGTCCTGTCACTGTTAATCCTAACTTTCCTGCCGATTATTATTAATCCTTAATTATGAACTCAAGCAAATATATAATTTAGGGTTTAACGTTACCAGCGGAGCCATGAATATCACATGCGCGAAGGGATCGATTAGCTTGCTAACCTTTTATGGGGTTGGAAAAAAAGGACACTCCCTATTAATTATAGTTAATTATGGTATTAAATTCGTGTTCCATTTAATAATATTTAGGAATTAAAAACTCATATTAATTACATTCCTTTTTTGAACTACCATTGCACTGATACAACTATCATTGCACATGTACACTGAATTCATATTAATTACATTTCTTTTTTTGAACTACCATTGTACTGATACAACTATCATTGCACATGTACACTGATATCATTGCTATGGTACAACTAACATTGCACTAAAAAAGCAAAGTAATTAATATGAATTTTTAATTCAGATAAATTATTAAATGCAACACAAATCAATCTACACATAATATAATACACCGAAGGGAAAAACGGGAGCCCCATTTCAAATTTCCTGGAACGAGAGTGAAAGTAGGAAGGACATTTTGGTCTTCACACTCACTTTTTTTAATTCATTAAAAAGACACGTAGTGGGATTCGAACCATGACCATTTTAAGGAAAAGTAAGGATCATAACCAATCACACTAAGTACATTTGTTGCATCTTTTTAAATTAAAAAGATATAATAGCAGAGAGGAAAAAACCCTTCCCCCATTTCAAATTTCCTGCTCCAGGAGCGTTTGTAGGAATGATAGAATAGGGAATGTCAATTTTTTCCTCTTTCCTCTGTGGAACGGGCCAACTTACCGTACACATGCGGATTTAAACGAGTTCAAGAGTGTCAATTTTTTCATTAACCCATTTTATTTCTCCGTGGTGATAAAATATATATGAAGAGGGAAAAACAATACTTCTTTTTATTGCTAAAAATAAAAAATTTAACAATAAACTAATGCATGGTATCTAATGGGCTAACCGCTAACCATAAAATAAAAGAGTTGAATTGGTTTGACCTACACGAGATTTGGCCATCAAGTAAAACAAATGAACATCATTGGTTTGACATTCTAAAACAAGCTATTTTCTCTGGCATAATATATTATGCTATTATTTTATATCTTAGTGGCTAAAATATAATGTATTTTAAAGTTATTCAATGGTTCAACCTCGACCAACCCAATTAGTCCAATTTTTATCATTTCAAATATATATTATATAATTATTTGATATCATAATGATCAAATCATAATGTATTTTATAGGGAATCGTTTGGTATTTGTTAGTAAAAAACTAAACATAAAGATCTATTTGGTTATTTTAAACATTAAAATGATCCTAACATTTTCAGTTCCTTTTGAATTTCTATGGTTTTATTCCCGAATAAGTGATGTGCAAATGGCAGTCATCTCTTTTCTTTCACTATTTTTTATTTTCAAATAAAAAGTTTAAAAGTAAAGAATAATTAGAATTTGGCATGGGTCGGTCAAACAGGCTGCATTTCAAGTTTTGGCCCCTTTTGATCAAGTCTAATTTATAATCACATCGTTCCCTGATACCCGATAAAAATCTCAATCCAAACCAGTTTGGTAGGTGAGTCCGTGTTTACCACCATTTTCTAGGGATACGACAACGACGGTTCCTATCCCAAATCGTGTTGTTCGTTCTTTATTTCCTTAGATTTTATCATAGCCTGAAAAAAACCAGAAAGCACAATGACGACAAGATGAATGTTTTATAAACCAAATTAATCGGCCAACAGGCCGAGTAAAAGCTAGCAACGATTGTGAGATGCTCATTTCCCGAAAACCGACGGGATAGGCGATTTTTTATTCGATTTTCTGGAATTCAGTTTCTATAAAACTTACTCCACCTCATCATATTACCAGAAACAATATTGTTTCACAAGGTAACAGGTACTTGATTTTGGTTCATAAGGCCGATTTTTGATTTGTTGCATCATTAATGTCTCTTTCCTGCTAAAATTCACTATTTTTATCACGTGTTTCCCAAAAAAAAAACTATACAACAATAAGTTATACACCCCATTACATTATCAAATTTCATACCTCACCTTCCTCTAGGGATGAAAACAAAATCCGAACCCACGGGTACCCACCCTACCCAACTCGGTCAACGCGGGTAAAATCCGTGTTGACGGGTTTTGGGCCGGGTTTGGGTTTAAACCCGTTCAATATTCATTGGGTTGGGTTGGGTTTAGGTAAACCCGACCCATGGGTACCCGCCCACACCCATATAATTAATTTTCTCGATATATTTAATATTCTAAACAACTTATCTTATTTATGTTTGTGGAGACATGTCTAATTTTTTCTTTCTAATTGTGTAGAATGAAGTTGATGTTATCGAGTGGAGAGTGAAGAAACTTAATTGAAAGGAAGAAGTTTTCAATTAATCATGTTATTTATGGATAATTTGTTATTTGCTTGAATTTTCTAGAATGGTATTTTATATATGGATAATTTGTATTGAGAGACTGATATTTGACTTTAATTTTGATAGCAACTTGTTATTGTAAATTTTTTAAGACAAAAACCTGTGGGTACCCATGAACCCGCGGATACCTAGGGGGTTGAGTTGGGTTTGAGTTTTTCAAACCCAGTGGATTTTACCCCGAATTTTTTTCACGAATAAACCCATGAATTTCGATTTGAATTTGGCAAAACCCGACCCAACCTGACCCATTGCCATCCTACCTTCCTCCGACTAAATGGCCGGGGCCCACACTAGTTATCTTAAAAGCTTATAATTAATAGGGGTGTTATTTTTCCAACCCTTTAGGTAATCATACTCTCTCACCCCTCTTCCACTGTACGCTCCGACCCATCTCCGACAACCTCCGCCATATCGGCCACCGCCTCTTCATTAACAACGTATAATCCAAGTTTAATTAAGTAGCAGACAGCTAATTTTGTCTTAGTTAAGAACCAATCAAAGCAATTGCTTTTGCCACGAGGAATCTGCAACAATTATTGATAAATATTATATTCGTAATTATCGTTGTTGTTTAATAATTGATAATAATGTAGATCCTTGAACAACTACCTAGCAGTTGTCTCTCTTGTCACAACATCATGTGCCCAGTGATAACAATTTTTAAATTAGAAACCCCCCAAATACAACTTCCAGGTCGTTTGACAACTGACAAGTACATATATATGTTGATTTATAGAGGTAGAAGTCCAATTTGTAATTATTATTATTAGCGGCTACGTTAATTGTTAGGTTTAGTGTTGATTCCCTTTAAATAGCCAAACTGTATTTTGTAGCAGGTTAAGCCGTTTTGCTCTAGTGAAATCCTTTGGAGAGTGCCGTCCAGGGATGACAATAATATCCATAACCGTGGATATCCACCCGAAACCGGCCTAATCGAGTAGGGTAAAACTCGAACCTGAAAGATATTTAGTGGGTACGGATAAAACCCGAACCCGAATATTGTGGATAATGGGTGGACATGGCTTTCTCACTATCCAACCTGAACCCGCCCGGTTATACACATGCATATGTATTTTGTCTAGAAATAATCATTTTTTCTCTAACATATTTTATATTTGGCATATAAATATAATATTTTCATGAAATTGTGTTGTTTTAATTAATTTTCTTCATTCTAGTGAATTATTGTTGTACTTTTCCTCTTACGTAATGTGATAATACGTGTGAATGTTAACATATTGGTTGGAGTTATGAAGAGAAATTATTACCCATGAATAACCGTGGATATCCGAAACCCGAACGAGTATGGGCATGGTTTTAATTTTCTACCCGTTTCACATTTGGGTATGGGTATGTGTAAAACCCTAACTACTTTGGGTAGGGTAACAGATATGCACTATCCGTCCTCGACCCGACCCATTGTCATCCCTAGTGTCGTCTCTCTCGTGGATTAGTCCTGATCATCAGGGATACCACGTTAAATCTTAGTGTTTTATGCCTTTTAGTTTGATTAATTATCATGGTATCAAATCCTATGCACTACTAGAGTTAGTACGCTTCTCGTTTTCTTGGTGGCGGCAGCGTGAGTTCTTCTTCTAGCAATCTTGTTTGTTTTGGAGTTTGGTGATTGTTGGGTGTGTAGCTGTCGTCTAGTGAGGATTTGCTTTGTTGCTGTCTTTGGGACTAGGTTCTTTTGTTGGCGGTGTGGTTGTTAATAGTTGTAGCGGCATGGATCTATCTAAGGCGGATTCGGTGGCTATCAAATTTGATGGCAAAAACTATGCCAACTGGGAGTTCCAGTTCCGCAATTTTGCTGCGGGAGAACGTCTGTTACCCATTATTCTTGGGGAAAAGAAGCAGCCTGGTGAAGGCGCTGCAGAGAAGGAGATGGAAGACTGGGTGGCTGCCAAAGCGCAGCTCATCGTCTAGTTATTGGCGTCGATGGATATCCCTACTATACTAACCTTGCGTCGGTTTGCAACGACGCATGAGATGTGGCGACATATCACATCGACGTATGCTTAGAATAGTGCTTCACGACAATTCCAGATTGAAACTGAAATTGGTCGTCTTATGCAAGGCGACAAGGATATTCGCGGCTATTATCAAGAGTGTCTTCATCTGTGGGCCGAGTACGATATGCTGACTGCCACCCTTGTTCGAGAGGCTACCTCCGCTGCTATGTTGGCCGAGAGAGCTCGAACTCGAGTACATCAGTTTTTGGCGAAGCTCTGATATGAATTTGAACCCATTCGCGCCTCACTGATTCATCGGAATGTCACGGCTCTCGATGACGTGGTTGTCGAGCTTATGCGCGAGGAGACGAGACTTCGCAGTCAATCTCAACTTGATCATCCGAATTCTTCGTCGAAATCAGCCTTTGCTGTTGGTCGACCAGCTGCTGCCTCTCGACCTCAGTTTGCGGCAACAGTTCCGGGGGATGTGATTTGCCATTTTTGTCGTGAACCAGACCATGTGCAGATTCATTGCAAGAAAAGGAATTTCTGTAACTATTACAAAAAACCTGGTCACATTGTGTTGGCATGTCCATCGCTGAGTAGGAAGGGTCGACTTCGTTCGTCATCCTCTCCTGGTTCTTCTTCCTCTCACGGCACAGCGTACCCGGTTACGTTAACTGCTGGGCCGGCTGCGACTGCTACTTCGGTGGGATCGACCTCGACTCCCTCTCTTTCTCCTGCTCAAATTCAGCGGCTTGTTCAGGACGCCCTTTAGGCTGCCCTCACTTCTGCTTTTGCCTCCGACACTACCTCTGGTAAGTCTCTTTGTTGACTTTTTGACTCCCCGGCGTTTAATCATATGACTCATCATCGGTCTACATTTAAAGAGTTGCATCCTGTTAAGTCTGTGAGTCTTCAAGTTGCCAATGGGGATAAGATATTGGTTCATGGGTCTGGAACTGCTCGTACTAGCTCGGTCACTCTTCCCCTAACCTTATACGTACCTCAGTTACTTCCGAACCTTATTTCCGTGGGACAGTTGGCAGACGATGGTTGTGTCACCTTTGATTCCACTGGTTGTGTTGTGCAGGATCGGAAGACGAGGACGGTGATCGGGAAGGGAATTAAGCTTGGATGGACGTTTGTACTCAATGAGCTTAGTGGAGGCGACGTGGCGGGTGTTGGGAAGGGTGATAGCAATGTTTGGGACGGAATCTTGAAGCAACCTCGACCATCATCTTGTTCACTTGTTTCTGCTGGGAATCGAGATGGAAGTCGAGTACACGAGAGTAGTGGGGATTTTTTTTCTCGGGATAGTGATTCCATTGATTGTTATGCTTTCAATTCGGATATTGCTGTTGAGAATTCTGAATGGGATTTGTGGCATAGGCGCCTGGGTCACCCTCATTCTGAGAGTTTGAAGACAATGTTTAAACTGAATTTGTTGCCCGATTCTTTGAATTTGAAAACGTTTAATGAGGTTCCAGGTTGTGTGAGTTGTATTGAGGCCAAGGCATCTCAGGCCTCCTTTGCGCCGGGTACTACTGTGTATGAGGAACCGTTCGATTTAGTTCATTCAGATCTCTGGGGTCCCTCTCCAGTTATATCTCGACTTGGATACATGTACTTTGCTCTATTTGTGGATCAGACTACTCGGTTTACCTAGGTTTATTTCATGAAGCCGAAGTCAGAGTTGGTGGTGATAGCTCGGGACTTTGTTCAAATGATTAAAACGCAGTTTGGTAAGACAATTAAGGTTCTTCGATCTGATCCCGAGGGGGGGGGGGAGTTTTCTTCAAATGATTTGTTACTGGACTTCAAATATGAAGGAATTCTTCCTCAACAGTTGTGTCCTGACGTATCCAATCCCAGCAGAACGGGGTTGTAGAGCGTAAAAACCGCCATGTTCTTGAGCTCACCCAGGCCATTCTGTTTCATTCTCCGGTTCCTACTTCCTTCTGGGTGGAGGCAGTACACTCTGTTTTGTATCTGATTAATCGTCATATAACTACGTTGTTGGGACAAACGTCGCCATATTAGGTGCTTTACTCCAAACCCCTTTACTATTCGCTCCTTCATGAGTTTGGCTGTACGTGTTTTGTTTTGTTACAGCGTAAGGAACGTCACAAGTTAGCTACGAAGGTTGCTCGCTGTGTGTTTGTTGGCTACAGTGAGAAGAGCAAAGGGTATATGTGTTATGACCCTGTTGCCCGCAGGATTGAGAGTTACGTGCCATGTCAAGTTTTGGGAAAAGGAAATGTATTACAAAGCCTCTCATGTTAATGCCTGTACTCCTGAGTCACTGGACTTCTTGGTCTCGTTACCATTAGTTGAGACTTCCTCTTCCCAGCCGTCTCAATCCACGAACTCGGCGTCCTCTTCGAATTCAGGCTCTAGCAACGAGACCTTCTCCCCCAGCTCGTCGATAGTGGGCACTTCCTCATCGACGCACCAGATGGGCTCTTCCGATGCATCGTTGTCCTCTCAGTCCTCGTCGGGGTCGTCTAGTTCTTCCGGTGATGGTGGTTCCTCTCCTTCGCCGCAAGCTCTTGTTCCTCTTCGCTGATCTACACGGGCCAATCTTGGCCAACTGCCGGTCCAGATAAATGACTTCTTGGGGTTTGCCGCGGAACCAGTTTTTGTTCCCACTCGTTATTCTCAGGCGGCTCGTGATCCTCGGTGGAATGTGGCAATGAAGGTTGAGACTGATGCTTTGGTAGCTAACAACACATGGGATCTTGTCCCTAGAGAAGAAGGGATGTAGGTGATTGGCAGTCGCTGGGTTTATACAATGAAGATGAATCCTAATAGTACGGTTGATCATTTTAGGTCTCGTGTAGTTGCCTAGGGGTTTAAACATGAGTATGGGATAGACTATGAAGAAACATTTGCTCGCTGTGTGTTTTTGCGGTTGCTGCTATGCGTGGTTGGTCTTTACAACTACTTTATGTGAAGAATGCATTTCTTCACGGCGACTTGAAGGAAATTATCTATATGGAGCGTCCGCCGGGGTATGATAAATGTGAATCTACTATGGTCTGTAAGTTGAATCGGTCTTTATATGGGTTGAAGCAGACTCCTCGAGCTTGGTTCGAAAAATTTCACGGCACTATACTGCAGACGGGCTTCTCTCAGAGTCAAAATGATCCTTTGTTGTTCACCCGGGTGACTATAGATGGCATTGTTCTGCTATTAATCTATGTGGACGATATGATTGTCACTGGTAGCGATGATGATGGGATTCATGCTCTCACAGCGGTTCTACGGGAGGCATTTAATTTGAAAGAGCTCGGGGAGGTTTCATACTTTCTGGGTCTTGAGGTTACTCATTCTTCCCATGGATTGTTCGCTTCCCTGCGGAAATACATTGTTTATTTATTGGCTTCGGCTCACTTTACAGATTGTGTTCCGTGTGCTACCCCTTTGGATCAGAATCTTAAATTGAGCCGAGATGGGGGGAGTTGATGGAGGATTGATCGGTTTATCATAGTCTGGTTGGCAGCTTGCTCTATTTGACTCATACTCGGCCAGATATTGCATATGCGGTTCAAGTTGTGAGTCAATTTGTGGGTGGCGCGACAAATATTCATTTTCCAGCGGTTCATAGATTGTTGAGATATTTGAAGCAGACGCAGGAGGTTGGTCTCTTATTTCCGAGCACCGGAGAGCCTATCATTAAAGCCTTCGCTGATGCTGACTATGCAGGCTGTATTGATACTCGCAGGTCAACGTCAGGATGGTATGTTCGGGTCGGTTAATCCTTTGTTTCCTGGCGTTGTAAGAAGCATGACCGAGTGTCGAAGTCTTCTACAGAAGCAGAATACAGGTCTATGTCAGAAGTGAATTCCGAACAGGTTTGGTTACATTGGCTTCTTGGTGAATTGGGTGTTGATTGTCGAATCCCAATGCGGATTTATGGGGACAACACTAGTGCGATACAGATTGATATCAATCCTGTGTTGCACGATAGAACTAACCACATCGTGGTTCATGTGCACTATATCCGACAACTAGTGGCTGAAGGAGTGATACAGATTGGTTACCTATCTACCGAAGATCAGACTGCAGATTTGCTGACAAAAGCGGTTGTATCGAGTCAACATTGTATATCTCTTCCAAATTGATGTTGCGTACCACACATCAATTTGAGGGAGGGTGTTGATTTATAAAGATAGAGGACCAATTTGTAATTATTATTATTAGCAGCCACGTTAGTTGTTAGGTTTAGTGTTGATTCCCTTTAAATAGCCGAACTATACTTTGTAGCAGGTTAAGCCATTTTGCTCTAGTGAAACCCTTTGGAGAGTGTCGTCTCTCCCGTGGATTAGTCCTGATCATCAGGGATACCACGTTAAATCTTGCTGTTTTATGCCTTTTAGCTTGATTAATTATCAATATAATCAGTCTATTGGTTTTTACCATACAAATTAACTAGGGCTAATACCACTACAACACCCGAACTATGACAAAAATGTCACTTGTATCCTATTCTTTCCAATATCCCATTTGTGTCCTGAACTATTATTCTGTTAGTATTGAACAGTGTTGACTGTTAGTTTTTAACGGAAAATCCAGTCAGCATTGACCTGGCATCTGACATGGAATTTTCAATTTTTATTTTTATTTAAAAGAAAAAATATACAAAATTATAAAAAGGAAAAATTGCTTCATTTTTTTGTCTCCTTCTCCGATCAATTGTTCCCTAGCAGATTTAGCGGGAGAGGTCGTCATTATCCCCCGGCTAAAATTGACTCTCCTACAATCTTCCATCGAGCGGGGGTGGAAGAAGAGGAAGCCAGAGAAGGATTCACCGGGCCAAAATTTCTTATTCCTCCTTTCGATTTCTTTTCAATTTAGGGGTTAAGTCTGGTTTCGATTTGGTTTCAATTTAGCGGTTAAGTTGTAGGCGGCGGCTCGGCCACCGTTGGATATGATGCAGGTAGGGCGGTGCCCCGCGGGACGAGAAAAATGCTCTTCCCTGCCCGTCAATGAAACCCAGAAAGCACAGGTTGTTGGCTTGAGGTTTGTTCTGCTGGGAATCGAGCAAGAAATAGATAGATGGGGAAGGAGCAAATCATCATGAGGGAACCGAGAGGAAGTTATTGGGGCTAACTTCTTCTCTAGTGTTCGTTGCCATTGAAGAGGGTGAGCTCGTCGAATCGATGGTTTTAGGGTTGAGAAAAAGTTTGAGAGATAGAGAGGCGAATAGTGAGAGGTTGTATGGGTTTTGTCAGCAATGGCGACGCGGTAAGGGCTAGAGAAGCGCAGGTCGGGATGAGGGGAGATGGCCCGAAAATGGAGCTTGCTTGGAGGAAGATGAAGATGGAGCTGGCTCGGAGTAAGAAGAAGATGAAGCAGCTCCGTCGGAGTAGAAGAAGGAGCGACGACCAATGCCGAAATTGATTTTGGGATTTTTTTTATAAATATTAATTAATTTTGAATTAAAATCTTATGTGTCAATAATGTGTCATCTATGTGGCCGCATCATTTTTGCCACATCAGCAAAAGTCAACAACAATTTGACTTCCGTTTGGTCAAGAGTAATCTCTAACGGTCAACGAAATCGTCATGATACAAAATGACATAAAAATATCATACGATAGGACACAAATGTAATATTGGAAAGAATAGGATACAAGTGGTATTTTTGTCATAGTTCGGGTGTTGTAGTGGTATTAGCCCAATTAACTATCAGCTCATAAGGGAACGTGTATGTACGTGCCAAACTTCCAAAGGCAAACTCAACGTACAGCCCAATCCCCTGCAAAACCAAACAACGTGTACTGGGAAAGCTGCGGGGAGTTTGCGGTTGGACGCCGGCTGCCGGTCGCCGGCGGGAGTGGCTGAAGGGGGGTTTGGGTCATCTGCTGATGAAACTGACGTCATTGTCTCCATCCCCACTAGCACGACTGCAGCCAGCCAGTCGCGGCCGTTTCCTGCACCGGCCGGGCCCTTAACAATTAAATATCTACCGATTCTAAGATCAGGCCACAACTGTTATCAATAATGCATGTATACAGTACGTACTAGACCTGATAAACCAAATCGAAGTACGCCTCCTCTCCACAATTATCGATGTTTTTCTATCCTTAATTTCTTGTTGTTTAGCAATAATGCATGTGTACAGAACGTACTAGACCTGACACACACGACTAGCCCAGTATCCCCTCATCTCACACACGAGACACGACACAACACATCGACATTAATCAACTCGAAAACCCCCGAAACTAAACTAATCATATAAAAGTACTTGCCCAATGGTGAATCGATTATTTATTTTGCTTAATGAGAGAGACACCAACGACTCATGGCTGCTGCATGCGCTCCCGTGTCGATTTTACTACTGTACGTGGTCGCGTCCTTTTCAGTTTTCACTACCATCTATATATATAGCAAGGTGTAAAATAGGCACTGGCGGCGTAATTTATTGGAATTGGCCTTTGGATTGTGTATACAGGCATAGTAAATTGAATAATCTATCTGGCTAGATAAGTGTGTTAATGACGGTGTACTGTCTTAATGTTAATGGTTATCCGGGCGTAAGACGTTGACATATACATAGTTGCTTCAAAACAATGTTCTATTTTCTTATTTTTCATTTACTCACGTTTGTTCCATAAAAAGATAATGATAACTTTGTTATCCTCATAAACAAAATTAATTAAGTAGGGTTCATTGTCAGTAATAGTTGAGGTTGTTGAAACTAATTAATACATTGTACATTTTTATTATAAGCGCTCCCTAAAATAGGAATTTAATATTAAGATGTTGTATCACTCAACTGTAGGAGAAGATTCAACCATTTTATATCTGCTCCTTACGTAAAAATAGGCACTATAATGTAGATTTTACATTTTGATATCCTAAATTTAATTTTAATGTAAAATCATTGAACAATTATATTTTGTTATCTAATTTTTATGAGATTTTCGTACCTAATTTTTTCTCATTTACATATTGGTCAAATGTTTAGATTTCACTTGAATCCATGAATCCAATCCACAATAACATAAAAGTATAAATTTAGTTTATACAATACAAGATGTTGTATCACTCAACTTGTGGAGAAGATGCAACCATTTTATATTTGCTCATTACGTGAAACATTAAAAAAAATGATAAAAGAGAGACGATTCTAAAATATTGCAAGAGCGAATTTATAAACTCATTTAGTACATTTACGAGTACTAAACAAACTTCTACTGATTTGATGTAACAAAATATGCGACATCTACATAAGCAAGTGTCAATAAATTGCTACGGTGAAAATGGTTAACAGTTATATAGCCAACTAAAAGAATTGATCAAAATCTTTCCATCATCAACTTTCTCTTTGTTTCATTTTTCACTCGCCTTCCATAACACTTTATTTATTTCTTTCTTTGCCTTCTTCGTCTAACCCTAATTAGTATACTATTTGTATGTATTCTAATCACAAGTATGAACGGGTCCGTACACGACTGACCAACAGTCTATAGAATTAATAATCGAAATATGAATCACTCAGCTCAATGTCGAGTCCAATTAAAAAATAAATATATATGGTTGTTACTTGTTAGAAAG